AACTCGAAGGCCGAGTAAAACCAACCATCCAGCATGTATTACTTAGGAACAGGCAAATGTATAAAGCTGTTACAACGTTAATTTACATAAGATAACTACAGCATCAGTTTGTTCAATGAAAGGATCATTTTCATCATAACCATGCCCGAGATCAACCATAATCTTCAAACGCCATGCGCTTGCGAGCACCCCGCCGCCACCACCCTGGCTGGACAATAACATGACAACATGTAAAATGAAAGAACATGGACCCTCGCAGCTAAGCTGCAGTTTTCGTCACATTGAAACCCACGTGCCTTAAAACAGCGAAGTTGTACTTCAGCATTTGTCGAAGTGTATTATTACCTCAAAGGTCTACAATTTTTCATCTCGAATCCAGTTTAGTAACCAAACGTTCATTAAATTGTTGAGACTATATACAGTTATCAAAATGCTGTGCAAGGAGGTTCTAGTAGAGCTATGTAGTTTTGAGTTAATTGTTATATCACATTAACGCACCAATGCCAGTCTCCTCACAACTGAACTATCAATTTGCTCATTTATTCGGGCCTTTATACTCGAAGTATAGTAATCGATAACCTCTCGGTCACTCACGTTTGATACCGCTGCTACTTTAAAACGAAACATGGGTCGAGTTCTCCGTCACAGTACATGAGAACTGGGCTTATCCACAAAATTCTAAAAAAAAAACAAACAAAAAAACAAACAACAAACAAACAACAACCTCAAATAAAGGTGTTTGGGTGTGTAGTGTTAAGCTACTAAAAAGCCTAAAACCAACAGAGTGATCAATATCTCATCGATTCTTATCAAGAAAACCAAATCGATTGTTAGAATCTCTTAGCTTTTGAATACGGCGTTTCTTAGCAATTTCTCCAGGTATTCTGGAGGAATTCTAAGAAGAACACGCATTTTGATCTGTTTTAATCCACCTACGAAAACACACCGTACAAAAAACTGAATAAATAGTTGGCTTTCCGGCATACATAAACTGTACGTCATGATGTTTAAACCTATTTTGCAAGAATACAAAACTAAAAAATGATTTATTCCGATATTTCATGCAATTTGTAATTGCCGACAATGTACGTGCAGGGAACCGGTCAATACGAATTAAAAGGTATGGCTATCTCGGCTACCAACGACTAGTAAATTAATAAACGATGTCTGTCTCCAGCGCGTCAACTGCTAAACAATATTCCCGGAATGTTAGTGCATATTTCTTATCACGGTATGGTCGATAATAATCTCCCCCGCATACGAACATGACGCCAGACTACCAGATTTGTTCAGCTCGACTAATAATCTGAGTAATGCGAAGTAACTAAACCCAATGAATTCCATGTCCTCCATTAACTCACAAGAGCACGAGTAAAGATCTGCTCTGAAAAGCACGTCTGCAAGGCTTCCCAATATGCTCCAATAATTTCATGATGGGACTTTGGTCATGGAAGTATTAAATCAGGAGAGTGTTCCTGAGCCATCTTCATGCAATTCTGGTTGTTTAGTCATCGCAGAGTCCTTCTGGAATTGCCGAAGTCCGCCGGGATGCACATGTTGGACATGAAGTGTGCAGGTAATTAATACATTCTTACTACGAGTCACCTTCAGAGGCTAATCTAGACGTCCATCCTCACTCCAACGCACACGCCTGTATACCATCACACGGAGCCACCATCAGCTCTTAGCATCCCCCTATATATCGCAAGTCTATTACATTACGTTATCCGTACTCAAAGGACATCCGAAAACATTCATTTTTTTCTTCAAAATGACATTACCTATTCATCTGGATCACGCAAGTGAGCAAAAATCGTCGAAATTTGGAGGTATTTTAACATGAAGATCCGGACATCATAAAAAATTCTTCAAACCAGCTCCACATTTTTTCTTTAAATTCCTTTAAGAATAAAGATAAAATACACATATAAAGGGTGCTTGATTCCCATTTTCACGGTTAAGTTCATGAATTTTTGAAATTGGAAAAGTTAGAAATTATCCCGCTTTTTCCTACAAACAAAATTAAGTATATTCTCTTTCAACTGAAACTCATTTTTTGCCAAATTAATTCTTTGAATAAAGCTTCGTGTACAATTTTTTACACTTAATACTATTCGCGGAATTTTGCTGTGAAATAATCAAAATTAACTACACTAACAACTAAACAAATTCTCGAAAACGGCTCCAAATTTTTTCTTTAAACTAAACAAAACGCATAAATTTCTCATCTTCCTTATTTCACAACTACACAAATGTATTTTTTATAATATCTCCTCACGCCGTTAATACCCACATTTTCCAGCGATGAAGCACTATGCCTACAAAGAAGATGACAAATTTTGCGCTGACACAAACGTCCCTGCCTAATGACAATTTATGCTGTAGTGACTAATTCACTACGGCCTAAATGTCATTTAGACGATGTTTTATGTTCTTTAATATTCTGGAAAAATAATTACCGATCTACACCGAGGACACAAAAAAACTAAGAAGATTTCAAAAGAAATAGTATTTGCGGCAATAGATGCAAAACAAGCAAGAGTACGTGCAACTGTCGAATTAGCTAGCGTGATCAAAGAAATAGACAACTAAAATGGGAAAAGTCTGTTACCCATTCTGTATCACCACTAGTTATTATAATTGTTGTATTACGGAGTACAAATGCTTCAAATTGAGCGATTGTAAATTCGAAGTTTTTTCTCAGAAAATTTTGGCGTTTTCTAAAACCATCATTCTAGGAAGGACATTTGTAAGCACATAAAACTCACAAATAAATAGTGTTTGACAAAATTATGGGAAATGTGCAATTAATCGGCCGTAACAGAATCTTCCAAAAAAAACTATAGTTAGTGTTAATTTTGAGAGAAAAAATACCCCGAAAATGAATTTCGTTCGATTATAAAAGAGTGCAATATAAGCCCATCCGTTCGAAAAGTTTGATGAAAAAAAAATTAACATTTATGAGAAGATGAAGGTGAGGCGTTTTAGAAAAGTACGATTATTGAGCAAGTTTTCACACAAAAACGTTGAGTTTCGAGAAAATATAATGTAACACTATTTGCAGACATGTCTCAAAGCATAATGTGGGAACAAATTACCGCTAACAACATATCTTACGACGTGAGACAAAAAAAATATTTTCATCAATTTCTATAAAAAGAATAGAGAGCAATATGCATGTTTATATACCATAACGCTTATAAGCTTATTAACCAGTTAAACTGAACTACCAAAGTTAAGGAAATAATTTCAGCTGTTTTTGAGAAAATCTTTGTTATTTTGAAAATTGCATTATTGCTCGAAAACTTATAAAATTTGATTCTCAAATTACTTCAATTTTGTAGTTGTAGAAGCCTGAAAAATATTCAAATTGTTTAAACATGTTATTATTCTATTATTACAAGCAAATTTAAAGAAAAAATGTGAGCCAGTTTTTAAGAAAATTTCGAAAATCGTGCGCCAGGGTTTTCATGCAAAGTACAACCAAATTTTAAAGAACTTTTTCAAAAATTTCAAAACGAGCTAGGTGGACATTGACTTCTTCAATTTGGAAAAAGCATTGCAATGGTTTAAAACTAATGGTGTTCATAGAAGGACAGACGGACGACGGACGATTTAGAAAAAAACTTTTTCGGATCAGGGGACCCCAAAACGTATTTCCGTTGAAATCTCAAAATCTATTTTCCACAGGCATTACATAAACTTACCCTATACTATACGTATTACTCTGTAAAGAACCGTACGATACGGAGAAAAAAAAAAAATAAAAAAATTTTACACATGCTCACCAAAATGCTCCTTAAACGACCTATTTACGTTTACCGAAGAATAGTTTCTGTTTGACGATCATCAAAGGGACCCACCAGTACATCCTGCCATCACGACTTTACACAATTTCAAATTTCTGTTAATGTCAGGTTGCATCAAACCATGCTCTATTTCGTTGACTTTTTCTTTCCCGTATAGTCCAGACAAAGCTCTCAAAAATGGCAAATAGTGGAAAGATTTGTTAGTTTTGATATTTGGTGCTATATATTTTTGGGGTCGTATAACACGAATATAGTTATATTTATTTTACTTATTATCGTATTTGTTACATACGAAAAACTTGAATGAAAATATTTAGTGCCGTTTTCAAAAAAATTTTTAGAAAGAGCATAACTTTCCAACAGTAGCTAACAAAAATAGTTCATTTTAAAAACGTTTTTAATGAGTATGTTTTACAACAGAATTGTTTAAAGCAAAAATTGCTATATCTAATTTGTTACATTAAATGTTATGTTTTGCCATTTTTAAAAGAACGGAGCCTGCACCGAAAATGAGACTAGCACCAATAATTTTTTACGTTCCTTATTACTCTGGGAGAAATTTAAAGAATAAATCTAGAGCAGTTTTTGAGAAAAAGTCGCAAATGTCGGGCGCAAAATACGCAAAAACTACTTATTTTCTCAAAAAACGTGCACATTACCTTTTTTGAAGAGCTAATTTTTTCAACGTACTTTGTTTGAGGCAAAAATTTATATTTTCAATTTTATAATTTTAAAATTAGATTTCCAGTTACGCGGTACATTCAGCGTGAACACTCGCCCCCACTGGACATTTTTTCCCCGAAAGGCGTTTTTCCGGCGAATTTTTCAATTTTTTCTTTCTTTTCTTTTTTTTTTTTTTTCGGCCTACCCCTTGCCGCCAAAAGACTGCCCCCGCCCCCTCGCTGGCCTTCCGACATGTGTGGTCCTTCTGGCCATTGGCACGACGTTACAATTGGAATTTTGCTGCCAATATCGATACTGTTTCATTGTTTCTGTGTTTTCAGGAGTTGTTGGAAAGCTAAGCAGTCTCTGACGATATGAAAGGCATTTATGGTATCTCACGATACCACAGATTCCATTCACATCGCCAGAGACTGCTTAGCTTTCCCTCAATTTTGCGTACATTCCAAATTTTAATAATTAGATATTTGTTCGCGAATCCTCCTCTGGAGAAGCACGTAGCGTACTCACATATTTCTCCTCGAACTGGCGCGCGAGGTCCTTAAGGCGATCCTCGTCGTCTGAGGCAAAGGGGTCCAGGCCGTTCTGCGCTGCACCGTCTCGCTCGCCGCCCTGCGCCCCCGCCGCCGCCGCCGCTGCCGCCGCCGCCGCTGTCGCCTTGCGCTTGCGCTGCAACACGAGCACACGTTCGCTGGAGTCATTCGCAAAGCAAACAAGACTCGGAATCACTTCACTTTAAAATATTTATTAACAGAATCAATATGTACACATATTGACACTAGCACATCATCGCATCGGCGAACGATAAAGTCCGAACTCTGAACTGAAAAGTCAGGAAGAAAGGAAAGGAACGCAAGTCGGTTGTCCCTAACTCATACCGTACAGTTACGACTGCACACTGTAAATGATAACACACGAAATTCAATGTATTCGAAGTATTGATAATACTGATGCATACAGGGCCACGGTGAGAATGGACCGGACAGGACGAGACTGGTCGGGTGGGTGAGGGGGGGGGAATCATTAGAAAAAACTTTACGAATTTAAGATACAACAGAAATACTGAACAGTTCGCATTAAAAAATGATACAAAGCCGTGGCGTAACGTCAATCACTCAGGGACGCTATCTGAATATTTTATGATTAACGTTCCTTAACTTTTTGAATATAAAAAATAAATATAATACAATACCATAGCCGAGATCGCTAAGGCAGTAGTGCCGTAGTGGCCTCGGACCAGAAGATAGCGGCTTCGTGCCCTGCCTCGGGCACGGGTGTATTTGTGCATGTCTCTCTTTGGGTGCCGTTCTTTCACCCTCCACTATCATCATTTCATCTACCATACCCCCGGACTAACAATTCTGGGGGATAAAAATCGGATCCAGCTAAATTCGGATCCCCTGATAAAAAGTTACACGCACCCGAAACCGAGAAAATGGTACTGGGCCCCGGTATGTGCAAAGTGTATGCACGCGAGGTTGAGGTTGGCCCATTCGTGAGCAAAAAAAAACTAGCAAATAACATTGTCTTACTTGAAATGATCGGTTACAAACAAATGGAAAGAATATAAACCAAAAAGCCAAAAAACTGGTACAGCCATGCGTATTGATATAAAGGGATCTGGAACTAATTAGAATACGACGCTCTAGTCGGCAACGACTAAATAAGACAACCAGTCTGGCACATTTGTTAGGTCGGTTACTGCTTCTACAATTGCAGGTTATTACGATTTAAGTGCGTTTTAACATGGGCGGCTTAAGAGAGGTAGGGCAGAGCCTCTCCGGCGTCGCGATGAAATTTCGATTTTCCGTACGACCAGTTAAAAGTGTACCGTAAATATCGGGATCCTAGTAAAATCCAACCTCCGGCATCGCTCCGACCGCAAAAAAGGCCGAGAAATTACGAGACAAATACGACTGAGGAGAATCATTGCAAGTTACAGAAGTGCAATCCTTCCACCACTACCTAGAGATTTCAATGCTGGGCTATCCATTCAACATTATCGATATGGGGGGAATTTCAGCGATTTGTTTTACCGATAACGACGCTTTCTATGAATCAGGGTATTGAAAACGTTCAAAACATGGCGCTTTCCACCACTTAGAAGAAATTTTCCACTCTTGCATTTAATTACTGGAGGGCCAGCCACACTCACAGACATTCTAAAACGAACTGCATAGCAGGGCCTCGCAGGCCGATCAGCGGCGCGGTGCCGCGGCCCGCGCGCCTGACCCAGGTCAGTTAGCACGTTCGTGCACTGCTGAACTGTCAGAGGATCGTAATCTTGGCCCAGCTACCCGTATGCAATTCACAATTGTCTCCTTTTTCGAAATCGTTTAAACAGTTTTGACGCAAGTTAATTTAACAAACAATGGCAGATACATTAGATCTTTTTCAGAGAACTATTTACTTCAGCGTCAGGATCCCGACAACAGCAGAGCGCATACCGTAAACCAATAAAAATCATCCAAACACACGAATTTGTTTACACAAAATTTTCTTCGCGTAAACGGATAAAATGGCAGAAAAACTTAAAAAATCGTGGCCTGTCAGGTTGGAGGTTGGACTATGGCTCAACCCTTACTCGTTAAAACCATTTACAAGTGAAAAACCCTAAGCAGCCTTCATACGGACAGAATCGTAGAAGACTTAAGCAAACCGGAAAATGCAAATGGTAACGTGGAATGTACAGGGTATTAGCAAAAAGTATGAATAAGTACTCAGGTGGCAAAATTAAATATAGCTAACGGAAACTAAGAAAGGAATTGAAGACTACAGCAACTATATCCATATTTATAGTCGTGTAAACAAAGATAATAGGGCTAAACGTAGAGTAACAGCCCCAATCCACAAAAAATATAGAATAAAATAAGAACCTGGAATGAGATCAAGGACAGACTGCTAATAGTGGAGATAAATTGATTTGGTCATACTATGGTAATTGTATCAGCATGTACTCCAACCGAATCTTTAGAAGTTTAATTTGAACTAGTGGCAATATTAGAATGCATTCCTTGATGAAAATATGTTCCAATAATGGGTGACTGAAATGCCCGAACGAAAAGTGAACAGATTAATAATATAGTGAGTAATTATGGAGAACAAGTATGTATTAAAAGCGGAGAGATTGGCAAATTTGTCAGATTGATCTTAAAATCATTAATGGGTTCTATGGACACAAAGATATCCGTAACTATTAATTATACACAACCTACCAGGAATATTAAATGAATAATTGATTATGTTATATAAATACACATAACTCATCTGAAATCCAAGACGTAAGAGTATTAAGAGAAGCAGAATGTGGTAGCGACCACTGTTTATACTAGAGTACTTATTTTTTTCACAAACAAAAACTTCCAAATGCATGCTCCATGTAAACCAAAAATATATCAGTTGAATAACTTTCAAAATTACTCTCCCAGTTTCCTATATACATTTAGAATGGCAAATAAATTTAGGTCGACCAGAAGTGAAAGTATATGAACAAATAAAGAACAGCATTTGAAGCATTAGGTGAGAAGAACTAAATAGAGGAAAGAAAACATACTTGTGGAATGAGGATTTGCAGTAAATTGAAGGCTCACGAACAGAAGCCCTCGCTGCGCTGGAAGAAGAGAAGATTTAAACGATGAGGCAGTGGCAAAACCGCTGGGACGCAACGCAGAACGGCAGGTGGACCCACCGTCTTATCCCACGGATCAACGAGTGGGTGTCGAGGGTTCACGGAGAAGTGGACTTCTACGTGACTCAGTTGCTGACGAGGCATGGATGCTTTAGAGTAGCTGCACCGATTTAAGCTCGATGACGGTCCGACGTGTCCAGCTTGCCCAGGACAGGAGGAGGATGTGGAGCACTGCCTGCGGTTTTCAGGAGAACGAGACCAGCTGCAGGAAATCCTACAAAAGCGCCTGACACCGGAGAACACCATATCACTGATGATGACCACGGAAGAGAGATGGACCGCAATTGCAACGTACGCTGCCCAGGTCATGCGACGCCTCAGAATTGAAGATGGTGCGAGAAGTGGAAGCCAATAAAGGCGTAAAGGAGGTGGGCTAGAATAACCCCGCCACCCCACCTAACGAAGTAATGCCAGTCGGCGGTTCCGTATGTGGGGCGAGGGACGTACGGTTTTAGTGGCTATTATCTACGGATGCGTTCCATACGAATCGGTCCGGATATGAGAGTCTGGGTCGAGGGTGCGTAAATGCATTTCCCCCGTCGTTAAAAACACACATGTTATTTAAAAAGTCATAATTCGCGGAGAAATGGACGTAAGAAATATGAGCCTGATTTTACTCTGAGCTGGGACTCAATTTCTTTTTACATACAATACAAATGCTCAATATGGGCTACCATAGTCACTCGACACACATACAGCCAATAGTCCATTTCTTCCCAAACACGCTCCAACATCTCAATAGTGATGATTAGGAAGCTGGCTGGATGCGCTGCTTCAGTTCCAGGATCGTCTATAGAGGAGGTATAAAAACTAGATCTTTAACATTTCCCCACAGGCAAAAACAATACTGCGTGAAATTTGGTAAACATGGTGGCCAAGGCAAGAGCATCTGATCACAGTCCGTCTAGATCGACTGCTCGACTGCTTTGGAAGTTTCTCGTTTAAAAACGCTCTTACGTGCCTTCGGAAATGGCGTGCGCCATCCTGCTGTAGTAGATGTCACCCTGCTGTAGTAGGAAAGCGACCCTGTCGTCTTTCACCTGACGTAACAAAAATTCTGTAATAATATTGCCTCTGCAGCCCTAAAACAATTGACAAGAGAAGTTTCCCAGATTCGATTCACTTCGGCCAAAATTACGAAACCCCGATAATCATTTTGAATTATGAGTGCGGTGAGCAAGGCCGATAGGGCAAAGAGAGAGCATGGGCGAGTAGAAGTGCACTGTAGAAAAGTTAGGAAATTGTAATATTCGACAAGTGTTCAGCAGTTTATTTGAAGTTAGCGAAGTGTAAGAGATTTAGGAAGTTACGCAGAATTCGATAGTGGTGTGGCAGTTAAATGAACTGGGTGCAGTTATAGGAGATTTGGGACGGAAATAAGTCAAGAGAAAGAGGAGCAATGAGTCATAATTGCCAACAATATTATTAATTACAATAGCAGTTTTCGATGGCTTAGCCATTATCAGTTTTCTGCTGTATGGAAGCCACAAAAACGAGGCCTTAGCCATTATCAGTTTTCTGCTGTATGGAAGCCACAAAAACGAGGCTTAGCCATCATCAGTTTTCTGCTGTATGGAAGCCACAAAAACGACTACACACTAGTCGTTTTTGTGGCTTCCACACAGCAGAAAACTGATAATGGCTAAGCCATCGAAAGCTGCTACTGTAATAAACATTGTTGGCAATGATGACTCATATAATTATTTCACTGTAAATGTCAACGAAAACTCACAATACCAATACCAAAGAAGAGCGAGTACATGTACGTAAGCTTCCGCGGCTCGAATCCATGAATTCTCGGCTATCCGGGAGACGCCGCGTCGTTGGTGGGGTGCCGACCGTTTGCGCCTGACATTTCGCAGGCTTCCTCAGGCAGTGACACTGCGGGCGCACGCGCCCGCGTGCATTAAACTAATCCTGCCTGGGCTCTCGGAGGGGCCAGGTGCGCTGTGATTGCGGAGAGGTCTCCTTATTGGCCGGC